CCCCGCCATGGGGCCGCCCGGCCACGGGCTCCGGCCGCCTCCTGCCCCGCGCGCAACTTTCCCGGCGCCGGGGGCTCCCCGCGGGCACCGCCGCGCCCCGCGCCGCTTCTCCCGGCACCCGCTCCGGGCTCCGGGCAGCGAGCGAGCGAGCGTCCGGCTCCGGCTGCTGCCCCGCTGCCAGCCGCCCCACGCCCCCGGCCCCAGCCCGGCTCTGCTGCGCCGCGCTCCCCGCCCGGCCTGACCTCAGCACGCACCGGGGAGGCGGGGACGCGGCTGTTCCGAGACTCCCCCGCCCCCGGCAAGGGGGCCCCTGCCTATCCCGGGCCGGGGGAGGGGCTGGCCCAGGTGCCGGAGAGGCGGGGAACTTGCTCCGTGCCTCGGCTCGGGGGCCCGGGGACTAGCTGCGCCTCCTGCCCCAGCCGCTCAGCCTCCCCCGGCACTCAGCCTGCGCGGCGCCGGCTGCCGGGCTCCGCTCGCCGAGGCTGGGCGCTCCGGTGGAGGGACGGGTCCCGTCCCGGTGCTGCCCGCTGGGGAACCGCTGTCACTGCTCTGATCTAGCCCGCACGCCGCGCACCTAGCCGAGCCGAGCCCATGGACAATGCGCCCGCCCGCCGCAGGGAGGGCTGGCTGGCTGGCTCCCTGCTTCAACACGTGTCCCAGCCGCTCCGACACTGAAAGCGTGTCCGGCTTACACGTACCCGGCGCTTTCATTACCATTCGGGTGGGTCTGCAGGGCTAAGGTCACCCAGGCGCCAGGAGACCCACTTTCCGACACTCCCCGGACCCTCCCGGGCCTTTCCTCCCAGTGAGTGTGCGGAGAAGGAGCCGGGGGATCCGCGCCGGGCAGTGCCGCGGGGGAGCTCTGATTGTGCCAGACTGCGCTAAATGTAAAGGCAGACACAGACCTGCCCCCATGCACTCGCAGGCCAAACTCGGACACAAGCAAACAATTTGGGCACGAAACATGGGCTGAAGCAGAATGGTTTGTTTCTAGATCATCTGCCCCGCCGGGTTTTATTTCCAGGTTTTTTAGGGCTGCGAAGAATTGATAGATTAACACTGGGGTAAACATGCCCAAGCACTGAGGAAGAGGAATTGTTTCGGGGCTCCCAGGGTGGAGGAATGGGATGAAAACCAGGAAAACTGAGATGGGGACAGTGAGATCTATGGTCTAGATCTCCCGAGGGAAACAGTAGAAGCCACATGACGTTGGGACGTTTAAAGCAAGACTGGGAAAGGTTCTTCAAAGTGTGCTGCGGTGTGAAATCTTGCCCTGGGCGGGTGGACGGATGAGCCTCTTCCGTCCCTCCAGCAGCCTGTGATTGTATTACTCTGACACTGACACATGTAGCTTCAGCTATGCGGTGTTCAGCCTGGCCACTGGGCGGGAGTAGACGGCACATTTGGCTCTGCAGGCCCTGTAAGAATTGTACTGATTGTAGATTTGTTTTAAAATGAGAGTCTGTCTTTGGGAGGCATATTTCTAGAGATGTCTCTTAACTGTGTCCCGGGCCGTCTGCTGCTTTTTAAAGATCCGTCCTCACCAAGAAATGGCAGACACAGACAGACCATGTCAACAGAATGTGTTCGCAACACCCTGTTGGGGCGGAGGGGGATTTGGAAACAGTCCCTAAAATCTTTAGGGTCACTGTAGGAGAGGCAACCTCACAGGCCGAAAAGGCCTGTCCCATGGAGGGCTTTGACTATGGGAGAGCCACCTTGAACCGATTACGGTAGGGAGCCAGTGCAGAGCACGGGGGTGATGTGTTCGTGGTGACCTGGGTTGCTAAGCAGACAGGATATTGTGTTTTGATCAGTTGAAGTTTTCTCAGGGCATGTGGCTTCATTTATAGATAACAACCGCAATAACTCAAGACGCGGAGGGGGGATTGGTGTGAATCAGTACGGTTGCAGCCGTGCCTGTGAGGAGGGTGAGCAGTCTTTGGGCTCTGGCAGTTGGGACTGGGCAGGTTTGGCTGTTGTTGCTGTTTGGGGCCCCAGCAGCACTGAGAAGCCCAAAAGGTCCCCATGGTTTCTGAGAGGAGAGGCCCTCACTAGAATCATAGAATATCAGCGTTGGAAGGGACCTCAGGAGGTCATCTAGTCCAACCCCCTGCTCAAAGCAGGACCAATCCCCAACTAAATCATCCCAGCCAGGGCTTTGTCAAGCCTCACCTTAAAAACCTCTAACAGAAGGTTGTGGTTATATAGGAGGCCTGTTCTTCAGCGTGCTGCCTGCGGATCTCACCTCAGGCTTACCAGCAGTTCTTCAGTCTATATAGACTATATAGATCTATATCACACCCTCCCTGAATAGAGGAGAGGAGTGAGCTCAGTAGGACTGCAGAGGTGGGAGACGCAGAGGTGGAGAGACAATAGCCTATAGTGACTCTCTCAGTTTGATCTCAGAGGAAGGACGTGAAGAGTTTGTGGTGTTTTTGTTCACACCTGCAGCAGGTTGGTTAGGATTATCTGGCAATGAAGGAATCAACACCCTCCCTTCCATTGAGGACCGAGAGCACTCCCAGTCCACATCTGTGGGTCCCTTAGGAAGAGCTCTCCAATGAACCAGGGAAGACTAGACTTGATGTGTGAAGCAAAGCCCTGTTGAAATCAATGACAAAATGCCTATTAACTTCAGTGGGGCCAGGATTTCACCCCAAAACTGATATTTCTAATGTTAAAAAAAGCAGACTTAACCCTCCCTCCCCCCCCAACTTTTTTTGGGGGGGGGCTCTGCATTTTAATTTAATTTTAAATGAAGCTTCTTAAACATTTTAAAAACCTTGTTTACTTTACATACAACAACACGCGAAACCTTAAATTAGAGTGAATAAATGAAGACTCGATACACCACTTCTGGAAAGTTGCCGACCCCTGCTATAGACACACAAACAACACAGTCCATCTTTTTTGTCTCCCTCTGCACGTCACCTTTTCTATGAGAAAACGCTTCTATTCAGATCAGTTAAAACAGGGGTCGGCAACCTTTCAGAAGTGGTGTGCCGAGTTTTCATTTATTCACTCTGATTTAAGGTTTCGCGTGCCAGTAATTTTGTATGAAGTCTGCTGCCTGTACGGATAAACTCGGCCTGGCTTTTGGCCACACCTTTTCTCTGGAAATTCATGGATAGGACATGGCAGGAAAGGTGTTTTTTGTTTTGTTTTTTTTACGGTTGTGCAACTGGCATAAGCTGAACCCTTCTTTATGTTGCAATGACCTCATAAGAGCACAGCCTCTCCCTTGTGACCATAGGGTTCAATTATCATTCCTTCTCAAGACAACTTCCTCTGGTGTTCCTTCATTGCTTGTCATCTAGGTAGCACGAAGTGGAATGCTTGCATTTCTGGTTTGAGCAACTGCGGCCAGGTTATATCCATCCTGGAGTCTCTGCACCGTCTGCCAAATATCGATCAAGATTCTGCCCCCTGATGCCTGCCAGCAGCCCCCACTGTCTCCAGTCTCAAGATAACCTTCCGAGGAACATGGCAATTGCCAAAGTGGATCAGCCCCGAGGTCCATCTCGTCCAGGATCCTGTCTCAAGAATGGTCAGGGCCAGATGCTTTAAAGGAAGGTGCAAGGCTCCCAGCGCCAGCAGCAGCTATGAGATAACCTTCCCCCAGGGAGAGTCTTCTCCTCACCCCCATAGCCAGAGGTTTGTTTATGCCCTAGAACAGGAGAGTTTAACTTCTTCCAAAGCCCTGGGGATTTCACTGTTCTAATAGCTCCCCTGTTCAGCCTTGGCTCCAGTCTGTTCCTTCTCAGAACCTGCCCCATTCTCAGCCTTCCACAGCCACATTGGTTTGTTGCCAGCTGGGGGAGGCGAGGCAGAGAGTGGGGGACTACATTTTGTGCCCACAGGCCTGTGATCTGAGTAACAGGGTTACCATGAGTTTCACGGGAGATGCTGGGGACTTGGCAGCCTTGATCTAGCCAGCATATCACAGCTGGTAGCATTAGAGGTGTTTCAAAGATTCATTTAATCCACACAGTTAGTAATTTCAAGGGTCAATGCTTTGGCTGTAGCTAAAGCTTGGTGGTCGATGGAAGGGCGGGGGGAAACCATTTGGGTTTTTTAATACAACCCTAGGAAAAAATCCTTGACTCTTGTGAATGCACAGTGGCAGAAGTAATGATTCTTTAAAAATGAGTTGGGAAATAGTGAACAATCTTCTCCTCCTATCACGCAACGACCTGAAAAGCAAGGTCTCTCTGCACCTCCTGCAACAGTCAGTCATATTAGGACAGGGTTTGCAACGTGTTAAAACTTAGATAATACATGATGCAAAAATATTTTATCTGCACTAAGGACAGATAGCTGGCAGATGATGTGTTTCTTAACACACTTGACTACTTGGGTTGTGCTGACTAAGAGTATGCACAAGCAATTATATCATTAAATTTAATTAAATAAAGTTACATAGCAACTTATTTTGAGTGTGTGGGACATGCTTTCCTCTTGTAGTTCTGGTTTGCATGCTTAATAAGTCTTGCAATAAATTTTCATGGCATTTATAATTAAGATAATAAGAAAAAGAGTAGATGGTATTCCATGGAGACAGTGC